TTGATTTCATTCTTTTGTAGATGAGGGTATTGTTATGGCCGTATATTCAGTGGTTGCTCTCCCAGTTTGATCTTAATAGCATGATCTTTTGCTCTTAGAAGGGGTAATCTTTCAGGAACTTAGCATACTGATAGTAAATTTTGCAGCAATCTTTCCACCTCTGAAATCATTTGCATTGCCTTTCCTTTGTCTCTTACCATTCTATCAAACTCTATCAAAAATCCTTCTCCCTTCTTTGTCACTAACTTGACTAAGGACTTCAAAGTAGCCTAACTTTTTGATAGTATGGGATCTCCTTGTAAACACACTCGTTGACCCTTCTCATTAATCTTCATGGTTAGTAGACTCCAATTTACTCTCACATCGCCTATTGATTTTAGCCCTTCCATCCTTAATATAACATCTATTACATTTAAAGGAAAATGGTAGAAAGTGTGGATTATATTGAGGCCTCAAACCTTTAGGTGGAGATCCTTGCAATGTTGCTTCTTCTTCAAAGAGTATTCGTCTTCCACTGTGATTGTATATTCAGCTATCTCATCTTTTGGAAGCTCTAATTTACTATGCATTCTTCAAGATAAAATTATGGGTGGCATCACTATCTATCAAAATCACGATCTCTTCTTCTTTGATTTTTCCCTTTACTTTCATGGTGTAATTGTCTCCAAGCCTAGCAATGGAATTTAGAAAGAGTCCCATTTGTATGGCTACCTCTTCCTCTGTAATATTCTCATCTTCATGCCCCTGCTTAGGTTTATCACTGTCGACTTCCTTAGTTGAGCCCATCTCTATGAGTAACATTTAGAAGTGTTTGTTTTGGTAGTGGTGATTATGATCGAATTTATCTCTGCATTTAAAGCAAAGACCTAACTCCCTTCGATGAGCAATTTCTACATCAGATAATCTTTGAGTTGCTCTTGATTTTCTCATGGTTGAACTTCTAGAAGCATTGCTGCTAGCCTTCAAGTCATACATTCACATTTCTAGACATTTTGTAGAGTCAGGCGGTGCATTTGTAGTATATGTGGGCTTACTAATTTCTAAAATGTGGGTTACCTTAGATAAATAGGATTGGGTCGAAACAAGTTTTGGCCCATTTTGTAATCTCTGAATTCAAGTAGCCTACAAACTTCTTTCTTCCTCCAGTAATTAGTTTTGTTCCTCAACACATAGGGTAGTATCGAACACCTCTAACAAAGATAAGGTGTTCGACAATTTTAGTTCATCTTTTATTTTTGTTTTCAATCCAGTCTTGAATGTGCCTATTAAGTATTCCTCTAATGCCTCCTTTAACGGCGCCGATAACCTCTCAAAATCTTTTACATATTCCAAAACTGTCTGCTTTTGTTTCACTGAGAATAACAATTCATACTCCCCCCTCGATGAGAAGAGTGGAAACGGTGCTGCAACTCTCATTTTAATTTGACCTAGTCTCACAGAGGAGTTCTTTGTTCAACCCATTGGTACCGATTTAAAGCTTTTCCTTTAAGGCAAACCACCGTGGCTTTTAACTTTTCTTGACCAGTTGTGGCATTGATAAAGAAATATCTTTCTACTAATGATTTAAAAACCAGATCAAACCAGATGGTCGGACTGTCGATCGGTTAGGTTAATGGTTCGATCAAGCTAAAAAAACCATTTAAGGAGTTGGGCCAAATCAAGCTGCTTTAAACTGGAGGTTAGATTTGGAACTAAAATCAAGTCGGGAACCTGTTTAGGTTTTCAAAAATTGGATTGTTCAAAAAATGCCCCTTTTTTTATTTTTTTGTCAATTTTTTTTTAGAAAATGACTTTTTTTGATCGTTTAATATTATATTATATCATGTGGCTTATCAAATCATTATAAACTTAAAATATTTAGTTTTATTTTTAAGTTAAGTAGCAATTTTATATTTATTTCTTAAATTTAAATTATTATATACATATATAATTTTTTAATTTAATTATTACATCATCGGTTTGACCATTAGTTAAACCCAGTTGAACAATGCAAACCATGAATCGCTAACCTTTTTGGTTCAAAATCTGGTCTAGTTATGAAAACATTTCTTTCTACTCAAAAGAGCCACCCCAATGAGTCTTTACCAATAAAAACATGTAGTTCTAATTTTCTATACTTTCTTGTCTCCTTCTCATCGTGTGCATGATTACTTAAAGCTTCTTCGTGTTCACTTGACTCTTATTTTGGGGTACACATCTCGACCATATTTTTTGTGTGTTTGCTCTAAGGTCTTATTCACCTTCTGCACCATTTCTTTAAAAGAGTTCATCTCTTTAGTTAACCCACCAATGGTCTCCCTCAACTCTTGTATTTTTGGTTCAATAAATTGCACGTGCTCACTTGTTGGGTTGATCAAAATAGTCTTAAGACCTTATTACTCTGATACTAAATGATGAAACCTTGCTATTCAACACACATAAAAAATACAAAAATAAAACAATAGAATAACCAACAGATCAAGCGAAATGCTGAAGTTTGATAATAATAGTTCTAGAAGACTAAATCAATGTTACAAAGATACTTTACTAATTTAGAACAAACCTATTCCCTACAACAACCAAAATATCCAATAGAGTAGTAACAATGTAATGCTATCAAGCACGCCCTTTGGTTTTCGAGAGCTAGTCTGTCCTCTCACTCACTATCAAAACAAGACATGCCCTTCAAAAGACACAACAATCTATTATTATCCCAAAGTACCTTGCACAGTCCCCAACATCATTTTTTGCTAAGACAGAGCTAACCCTTCAAGCCCATACTAAGTCTGAATAGCTTTCCTTATACGGTAAAGAATAGCAAAGTCAACATTCAGGCCCTCCTAAAGGTGTTGTTCCTTTTTCTTGTATTTTTCTATTTCTCCTCTTATAGGTTTGTAGCTTCCTATTTCTCCTTGTATAGGTTTACGCAGTAAAAGAGATTCCATTAGATTATTTTTTTTAAACATATTCTTTGTTTTTAGCTTGAAAGACAGGACCCACTCTTTTCCAGTTTAGGATGTTAGTCGTGATGAATTCAACAACTTGATGCGAGGTAGCAGGTCAAGACGTCGTTGTCAACATTCCTCTATTGAGCTAGGAGGGTTTTCACTTGACCAAATGCCAAATGATATCTTATTTATAGTAGGTTACTTGGTTTCTACATCTTCTTTTTAGGATTACAAAGCTTTTTGACATACTTATAGAGTTTTGGAGAATCTCAGAAGATATTGTGTATCAATGCTTGCGAATTGAACGTATGCCAAGGGTGAACTTTTGTCAAAGTCATTACATCATTAAAGTTGAACGAAAATGTGTTTAAGTTGGTAATTATGATGCTCTTTATAGGATGGGTGTTAAGTAGTCTTTTTTTCAGTGAGTATGGTAGGGAAGTTGTGTTTTATATGTTATTTTGTTCTGTTAGAGCTAGGCATGGTCAGGCCATGTATGCTTTTGGATTGTTGGTTCTTGATAATGGTAATAGATATAAAGATGATCCATGATGTGAGATAGTGTTCAAATGGCTAAGAACGTTTCGACAAGAATGACAAAGATGTGATTTTAGTGTGCTTTTAGTTAAGATTGCTTGGTATGGTGGTCCGGGTTTCAAAGAACTAAAAACGTGCCATTCTTTGTAATAGATATATGTGTCCGAATGCATGAAGAATAAGGAATGGCATAGGAGTATTTTTGGAAGAAGATGATGATGAAGAACATGATCTGTTGATGTGTGAACTATGTAGATGGGATTATGAACTATTATGGATGCATTGCAAACTAAGGTTGTGCCCCTGGTAGTGGTAATAGCTTAAGATATTAGTTAGTAAGGGAAAGTTGAAGTGTTTTATGGTTGTTACTATGTCCCATCGAAGCTGTTTAAGGTCTTCTGTTTTGTATATGTGCATATGACGATACATGAAGTATCTTTGCTGGTTTTGTAGTGATATATATATATGTATGTATGTATGTATGTATGTATGTATGTGTGAAGTAACTTGGGATCCTATTTAAAAAAAAAATTCAAGTATAAGAGGATTTTATTAATGATGGATACAAAAGTCAATGATTTTATCAATGAATTTTAAATTTAAATTAACTGATTAATTAAAATCCTATGAGACCTACATGATATTTTAACAACAAAATGTGATATTAATTTTAGTGATACATATCGACGGATAGTAACTATGGGCAGTAATCATGAATACAAACCATGAACCATAACCATGATTTTTTTTTAAAAAAAATATCCTTGTGAGATCCATAACAAAAACAGTAGATGTAAGACCCATAATTTAATTTTAGTGGCTTACATAGTATACTATTTTTTTTTTGAATATGTAAGATTTATAAAATAATATACAAAATCATTTTGCTGTTCATTCAACTGTAGAGGAACAGTAATAATGATGTGCTTTACACACATATGTAATTTAATTAATGTTAATATAAATTTAAATAGATGGGATGCTTATTAAAAAATTATTTAACTTGTTAATTGTAAATACTTACTTACCAGAAGTGGTTAAATATTGAATTGTTTTTAAGTATTTTAATGACTTACTTTATTGTTCAACTATTTCAATTTTCAGCACTGTCCTATCAAATCGAAATGACAGTCAAGGTTGGAACCTCAGCTCACCATAGAAATGTATAGTTTAACAACTTTTTTGATATAAAAAAATTAAAATATTTAAGATTGACTCATTGACCCCTAAATGTTACTATAGATAATGTTGGAAATTTTTTTTAATTATACTAACATTTTTCCTTCTTTCTGAGAGGGAAATTGGCTGGACAATCATATATTGGCTTTGGCTAGGAAGGTCCAAATTGGGAAATTAAATGGAAATTTCATCTTCATCACCGAATTCGCATTGCGTGTTCGAACATGAACACCCCACTAAATACTCCATGTCTCAACAGTTCAACTTGCACCGAATATTATTTTTTAATCATTTTTATTATTATAAATTTATAAAAAAAATTACTTTTTCTATTATATATATATATATACACACACACTTGCCATATCATCCACTTTCCCTTCCGTTATTCTTTGTTCTTCTGCTGGGAACGAATTTAAGGAAGAAGGGGAATCCGAATCGCCGTCCCGTTGGTGTCTTGCGCATCAGAAGGGACGCTATCGGTTTCGGGAATCAAATCTCCAAGGTACTGCATCGATCTAATCCCCTCTTTCCTTTTGTTTGTTCGGTTTTGTTTCTTCAAATCTTCACCATTTTCTTTTGTTTTCTTCCGTCTTATCATTCAAATTTCTGGGTTTTCAGCATTACTTTCCGATTTTTCTTCCTGGAATCGATTTTCGCCCCCTTCGATTCCTTGCAAAGTCCTTGTGGCAGATCTGATCAGGCTCTTGGGTATTTCAGACACTGCATGCATGGGGTATGTCTTCTGATTTCATTCATAAATGATGGGGTTAAGCTTCTTTTCATTGTTGGTTTTAATTATAGTGGTACAATTCCGAATTCTATGGATTTTTATGCTTTCCTTGAAAATTGATCAAGTTATCAGGATGGATTAAGGATCCATATACCACCATCCTTCCAATTATGAAAATTAGATAAACTTAGCTAGACCTGATTGTTGGCTGGCTAACAAAGATGGGCACTTCATGAAAATGGCCGTTTGTGACTTTGTGTTTGACGCACACGTAGAACAGTTGTATTCGACTTTAGACACACGGGACACTTTTAATTAAAGATTTTAAATTTTGTTCTATATCCATTGGTCTATGTCAGTGTCTATGTTTCCTAGCCGGTTGGGCATCTTGCTCTATCGTACATGGCAAGTTGTTGGGTGGGTCGAACCATTTAAAAAATTGACAGAAGTCAGGCATCCAGCTCATGATCAGCTCCAACCGCCTCCAACCATTATGATGTTGCGAGTGATTGGATTTTTTTTTTGGATAAGTTTGGTCATCATCTGAGGTTTTAAATCATTTGGTCCTAGTAGGCTTTTATGTTATTATCACTTAGGTGGAAACAAAGTCTGTGCCTGCAGTGTGTAATAAGCTGTTAATGATCATCCTGGTCAAATAATAGTTCTAAAGGATGGGCATATTTGTCTGAGTGCTTGGCTCCCATGCTTAAGGACCACAGTAGGAATATACCCGTGAAGGAGAACATGTTCATGTGTCGTATTGTTTGCTTGAGAAATAAGTTGTAGACTCTGCATAATTCGGCTGCCCAACACTTTCAATTGATGTGTGTTTAAACCAAATTATTGACTGGTGATTAGATCGTCGTGTCTAAATATATGGTAAACTTTTTAGAAAATCCTTTGATTATGTTGTGATTCATAACAGAATTTAATGTTATTGTAACAGAGCAGTGGTTGTGTTGGATGCTATAAGAAGCCCACACTAATTACACTGGAACCTAAAGAAGTTTCAAAACAAGGCCAGGCTGTGAGGAAACGTAGTACGTCCAACGATTTCTGGACCACTAGCACGCATGATATGGACAATAGTGCTGTACAATCACAGGGAAGCATCTCATCAATCAGTGTAACAAATCAAGCCCCAGATCCTCATGGTAGTTCTGGCAAAACAAGCAACTCCACTGAATTTGTAAATCACGGTATTTTCCTATTGCTCATATTTTTCAAGGACATTAAGCATGAAACATCCTTTTCTTCTGTGTGTTTATTGACTTCTTTTCTGACAAGACTGAGCTAACAGAAGATGGTTGCCTGTGCTACTTTGCTCATGCATGTTTATTTGCTTTTTTTTTTTTTTTGGGGGGGGGGAGGTTAAGATTATGTCTCTGTAATATAAATACGTTTGGCTGCAGCCAAGTTATTCAAGGTAGGTTGAATGACCTGGTGATTTAAATATAGATTTTTCTTGTTTGTTCTAACTTAATCCAGGTGCCTTGGTTGCTTTGATTTAAAAATTGTTTTTTTTTTCTTGGTTTGGATAGCCTTTTTCCCTAGAGTAGCAGAGTCTTCTAGGTTACTGGCCGGGTTTAGTGGCAAGAATTTTATTCCGTCAATTTATCTCGGGTTGGCTGTTTATGTTCCTATATTAAGTTGTAATCCACGAAATTTTGTAAGTGAGGTGGTGCCTTGACTGATTTGCAATTTAACTTGGAAGCTAACTTATAAAACTTAATTAAGCACTGCAAAGTAAAAGCAAGAAAAAAATCACTTTGAATCTGTGGTTGCAGGTCTTATTCTCTGGAATCAGACTAGGCAACAGTGGGTAGGAAATAAAAAACCACAAATTCAGTCACAGCAGCTGCGAGAACCTAAACTAAGGTAACTTGAGTTGTTGGACTAGTTTCACTGGCAGCTTCCCCCCCCCCCCGCCTTGATCTTTAATCATTATGTTTTGGGAGCTGGGGTGGGGGTGGTGACTTGGTGTATCAACTTGCATCGGTTCATGCTATGATTGATGCTGCTTGAAAAATGAGAAGGAATCAAGTTTAAACTTGCATTGGAATGTCCTCTCAAAACAGTTGAATAGAAATAGATTTTAATTTTGACTGTAAATCTATTCGTCAATGAGTTTTCTTCTTGTCTTAAAACGTTTGCACAAAGTTTATAACAGGGGATCTTGAGGTTTTGTCATTGTGTATAATCTGTTCGATATAAATCAGGAAATAAAAAGGAGAAAGAAAAGAAAGGAAAAGAGGGAATAAATATTCCACCACCTTTCCTTTACGAGCTCATGGCTGAATGATCATGTAGCTTCAAAGTGTTCTCTTGAGAGGAGGAAAAGAGAGAAATGGCTCTTTTAAACTGGAAGCCTTGGCATATAACTATACAATTGATTGCAGCCTTGGTTATAAGGTGTTTAGCACATTTTTGAAATGTTAGCACTTTTATGCTCTGGAATACGCGGCATGATTCAAATGTGGGTAAATAGGATAGAATATGTGGCTTATGAACGATGCTTGTTTCAGTGAATATTTATGGAAATGTGTTTCTTGTATTTTGTCAGCACTTATTGTCTGTCCCTTGGCATATGGCTTTGCAGTTGGGATGCAACATATGAAAGTTTACTTGGGAGCAGCAAACCATTCCATCGGCCTATCCCTCTTCCTGTAAGCATCAAACTTCTGAATTATCATGTGGATCAAGATAAGAGAGTTTATCTGAGTGGCTTGTGGCATGTTGATAATATTGACAGGAAATGGTAGATTTTCTAGTGGACATCTGGGAACAGGAGGGCCTATACGACTGAATCACATGTCTGCTCACTCTGCTGTTTGATTTTAAATCCCTAAAACAATTAATTTTAGTTGTTGCTTCTATGATGATGATAGGAATGGGAAGATTGAGCTCACTGCATTTTGTACATCAATTGTAATGTTATCTGCCCCCTGTTATCTTTCAGTGATGAGGAATCTAATCATTTTCTCTTTGCTGCAACTTTGTAAGTGATGCCAATTGGTTGATCTTTAGTGATTAAAAGAGCCAGTTTTGAGGGGTTGAGAAAAACCTTGTTTTTCATGCTAGTAGGTTAGTGTTGCAGTTACTCTCCAAAACAACTTCCAATTTCTTCACTACTATGGGCCTTTAGGGTCTTTTTTTGGGCCACCTCACTAATTTTGGGTTATTTACTATCACTTCATTAAATGCTTACCAGGGTTTGATATCAACCAATGTTCTAACTGAACTGAGCATTCAACGGATCGGGATGTTAGTTTCATTGAACCAGGGTTGGACAGTTATTGGACCGTAATTAGACCAGTCTCAATTAAAATATATAGTTTTAAAGAATATGAATGAAAAAAAAATATTTATCCTTTTTTAATAAATCTTTAAATAGTTATTCATATCCTTATCATATTTTATATTTATAATCAATCCCACTAACATTATAGTTAACCTTATAATAAAATTATTTATTGTCCATTAAAAACAATCAAATCATCAAATGTATCACATTAATTGATTAATCAAATCAATACAAGCTTTTATTATTAGTTAAAATTACCATCAATCATGATGTACAGACACACACGCAACATTAAATAAAAACCAATCGCAAGATAAATGAAGGCATAAAATAACAGTTTTGGGTTATTGAAATTTTTTTGGATAGCTGTCATTGAATTTTCAAATATTGTAAAATAAGATTTTTTTTAAAAAAAAAAGAAAAATTGAAAACCATTTTTCTAGTACTTTTAGCTGTCCGCTTTTTGGTCGGTTATGGCATTCCCGACACCGGTTCTAGGTCAAGCCGGACGGTTTGATTTTAACAAGCTTGGTCACAATTATTATAAGTTTTTGGTGATTACAAATTTGGTGTTGTCAAGAAAAATAACGGCCTGTTATAATTTTGGGAGGAAATGATGGTGCAACGCAAGTTGTAAAATTTTACAATCATTTATACTGTAGTCAAATTATGTCCGAGGAAAGCACTATATTTGTCGTATAAAAGTATTATTTTATTTTTAATCATATGGTAAAACATCAAACAATTAATTACTATTGCTAATTACTAATTTTCCTAAAACATGTATTATAAAAAATTAATTAATTATTAATTAATAAGAAGTAAATTTAAAATAAGTAAATTTAATTAATAGAAATTGGATCTAACAGAAAAAATTAATTCTTTATAACATAATGAATCAATATTGGAATCTTTAAAAAAAAAATGATGTCTTCATTTCGTGTTTAATGGATCATACCTGTGTTCAATAAAAAAAAAATAGTCTAATCCCCTTTGGAACACACTCCTCTGTTCGGCCCATAATGCCTGAGAAGCACCAAGAAGTCTCGGGTGCTCTTATGAAATTCCATAAACATTTGCTTTTTAATGTGCCTTTTCCTACAAATCCTAGAACCTCTTGGAGACTTCTCAAAGCATCCATCTCTATTCTCTAACCACGTCTTTATTTAAAGCTGTCTCACTTCATCCCATCATCATCATCCACATCATAACCAACGACAAAACATCTCCTTTCAATCTCCAAGGAAAAAGTCCAATGGCTTTGGCTCGTTTCGCTCTGAAACAACTGCAGCGGAGGGTGGGATCTGCTTCTGCTTCTTCCACTGCGGAAACTAGGCCAGTAATCGGTGCTGCCCAGAACCTCGTAACCAGAAGCTTTTCTACTGAGAAAGCGAAATCTGATCAAACCACGGAGGTGACTGTGTCTGAAGGCAAGAAGCCGAGGTTATTTCCTAGGAGACAACGAAGAAGATGGCCATGGAGGAACGATGACAGAGACTTCCCGCCTGCCCTTAGTGGTACCTTCTTCTCTCTGCACCATTTACTCACAGTATATATTGATGTATCTCGTTAAGTTGACAAGAGATCATAAATTCACAATCTTCTGATGATGATCTTGTTTCAGAGTTCTTCCCATCTGGGCTAGGGAATGCACTGATGCAAGCGACAGAGAACATCAACAGACTATTCGAGAACATGAACATAACACCATGGTCATTGAGTGGGCGTGTGAAGGAGAGAGACGATCACTACAAGCTGAAGTATGAGATGCCAGGGATTCCCAGAGAGAACGTGAAGATCACCATTGATGATGGAGTTCTGAACATAAAGGGAGAGCACAGGGAAGAGAAACAAGAAGAGGAAGAAGACGAGTACTGGGCATCAAGCAGCTATGGGTACTACAACACGAGCCTGGTCCTGCCTGATGATGCCAAGACTGATGAAGTCAAAGCTGAGTTGAAGGATGGTGTGCTCACTGTTACGATCCCCAGAACTGAGAAGCCCAAGAAGGATGTGAAGCATGTGTCTGTTCAGTGATGAAGGATTAACTTGAGCTGCTGAATCTTTGTTCACTGTGTGAATAACCTGCGTTGTGTTTGCGTCGTGTCAACAGATAACCTGTCTTCTTTCTTGTGAAGATGAATCGAAGTTTCTGGTTTATTTCTTATTTTCACCTTAGAAGAGCTCTCTCAGATACAAATTTTTGTCCTTAAAATCTCACGTTTCACTTGTCAATTGTCATAATCCCTCACAACTGCTGGTTGCTCAGTGCTTTTTTTCGTCACCCCTTTCTATCCGTAGTTAGAAATGTTCGGGAAGTGGATTGAGGGCCAACGGCCCAGCCCAACTATCCGAGTGTTGTTAGTGTGACTACATGGGTCAAATTTAAATATTGTTAGGGTAATTAGAGATAATTTTTTAATGAATTTTTTTTTTTTAAATTCACGTATACTCGAATTTGGAATTTTGTACTTGACTATTCATGATTAAAAAATATTTGTTTTTTAAATTTACGTATACTCGAATTTGGAATTTTGTACTTGACTATTCATGTCCCTCTCATCAACTCTCTCATCAGAACTATCGACTATTTGTAGCTTGTTTTTAAGATTTTTGTTTTTTTGCAGATTTTTTCTAAAATTTTGTTTGAAGTACTGTTAAGTATTATATATAAATATTTTTTTCAGTGAAAATTTAAAATTTTGATGTTATGAGGGATTACTTTCTTCTACTAAACGCAATTCTGTTTGTTGGCATGTTTTTGTTGCCTCTTCCCGAAAGTTTTTTTTTTTTTTTTTTTTATAAAAGTGGGGGCAAAGCCCAAGTCAATAAAATTAGACTAAGTCAGGGGATTTAAATCCCATACAATCCTTTAAAAGCACGTCCCTTAGAAATAAAGGAACTGAGTCAAATAGAGATGAGTTAGAAATTTCGGCCTTTGCTAAGGAATCTGCCACCATATTTCATTCACGCGGGACAAAATTGACCACTACATTCCAGCTAAACTTGAGTAGATTCTTGATTTCCAAAAGGACTAAGCTTCCTCTAGTCTGGGGTTCAGGATAAACATTAATTGATTTCACCAAAATTTTTGAGTCAGATTCAACTATGATGTTTTTAAATCCCATATCCCAAGCCAGTTGAAGACTCTTCATAACTGCCCATTTCTCTGCTTCAAAAGAGTAGCACTGACCAAGGTTCTCTGAAAAACCCACAATCCAAATGCCATTGCAGTCTCTGAGCACTCCCCCACATCCAGCTTTTTTGGATGTTAGATTGACAGCACCATCAGTATTGAATTTCACCCACCATTGTGGAGGGGGTTTCCATTTGATAGATATCCTGGCGATCTCATGATCCTTAGAAGTAGCATCCTCACTCATGACAAAATATTTCCAGTTCTGGAGGATATTTGCTATGGGATTAGCAGGCTTTTGAAATCCTTCCAGAAAGGTAAAGCAATTTCGCCACTGTCACAGCTTCCAAATTGTTACACCCCAAATAAGGTTCCAACTAGGAGAGACTCTCGAGAAGGAACCCTTAAGATTTAGTTCAAACCAGTTTTTCAAGAAGCCCAAGAAGGATGTGAAGCATGTGTCTGTTCAGTGATAAAGGGTTAACTTGAGCCGCTGAATCTTTATTCACTGTATGAATAACCTGCGTTGTGTTTGTGTCGTGTCAACAGATAACCTGTCTCTTTCTTGTGACGATGAATCAAAGTTTCTGGTTTATTTCTTATTTTCACCTTAGAGGAGCTCCCTCAGATACAAATTTTTGTCCTTAAAATCTCGCGTTTCACTTGTCATAATCTCTCACAACTGCTGGTTGTTCAGTGCTTGTTTTCGTCACCCCTTTCTATCCGTAGTTAGAGATGTTCGGGGAGTGGATTGAGGGCCAGCGGCCCAGCCCAACTATCCAAGTGGTCTTTGTGTGACAACATGGGTCAAATTTAAATATTGTTAGGGTAATTGGAAATTATTTTTAATTTTTTTTTTAATTCACGTATACTCGAATTTGGAATCAACTATCTCATCAGAACTATCGGCTATTTGTAGCTTTTTTTTTTTTGCTTTTGTTTTTTCACAGATTCTTTTTATTAGGAAAAATTTTGTTTGAGGTACTGTTATATTTTTTTCAGTGAGAATTTAAAATTTTGATCTGTTATGTTATGAGGGGTTATTTTCTTTTATTAAAAGCAATTCTGTTTGTTAGCTTGTGTTTGCTACCTCTTCCTCATGGAAGTTGAAAATGCATGGAGACAAACTAAGTAGGCCAAATGTGGGCCCATTTCCATTTTTGGGGAGAGAAGTGGGCCTGTGCGAGGGCCCAAATAAGGAGAAGGGAAGAAGGGAATGAAAAGACGAAAGAGAGACTGACAAGAAACAGAGATGACGAAACAAAAAAGAAAGGAACAGTAACGTGCGGGCGCGAAGGAGACGAGAAAGGGCAACGTCCTATCATCTTCTTTTACTCCTTCCGTGCAGAAATCTACCCTCCTTTCTCTTCCTTCTCAAAACTGGACCCCACCTCTTCAACCTGAATCATTATTTTTGAGCTTTCCTTGAATATAATATTCTCGTAGGAGAAGAGAAATTCTTGAATTATTCTTATACTATTCAATAAAAATATATTATATCAAATGATTATAAGTATAAATTATTTTTATATGATATAAAAAATATAAAATACAAAAAATTAAAGATATATTATATTTTAAAAATAAGTTTATTAAAAAATATGTCTAATTTTATTTAATTAAATTAATATAATTTTACCATACAAAACATTAATGACATGACACATCAAGTTGATTTAAGAATTTCTAGTTTTATGATTAGTGGGCGAAGAGCATGGATAATCTAATATAACAATTAAATATAAATAAAAAGGTCTAAATCTTGCTAGAAGGTAATCTCTTATGTGAGATTCCCTCAATTAATTTTAGTGATCTTCTTTATGTATATTTCCTCCTTCAGTGTTTCAAATATTTTTCACAGAAAAATTGTTAAATTGTTTCACCTAGTTAAAAACATTTCAATATTTTAGCTATATTCTCATTAATTAAAAAAAATTCAAAATATCTTATCGAAATTACAAAAATTTATTAAAATTATGAAAATCAAAATCAAAATTTGTAGTTTGAATTAATTTTTATTTTAAAAAGACTCTTTATATAAAGAACTGGATCTATGAGTGAAATACATGATAAATACTTGATTTTTTTTATCATTATTCATAGTTTATTTATGTAAAAGCTTGTATTTTGTTGCCAAACTTGGTGGATTGGAAGTGTTTTTTTATTGAAAAAATAATAATATGTCTGAAACTTGATCAAAAGATTAAATCATGGCTTACTTCTAGGAATTCACTTCTCAAACATTATTGCTATTATTTGAATATATTTCCAGATTCTTTCCCACTGTTCTTTTATCACTAAACTAGTTTCTCATAAAAAAATTAATACATGAGGTTTTGTTTTTGATCTTAAAAATTAATGCATCGCCAGTTCATAATTTCACTTGTAGACAAGAGATTATTTAACATAAAAACATGCGAAAATGATGAAACTCTTCCATTCTTATCACATTAGCAAACTTTAAGAATAGGTTTCACATGAAAGGAACTCTCATTTATACCATATGCTAATTTGAAGTTAAGAAGAAATATGACACTTAGTTTAATTAATAAGGAGTTGTACTAACTTCATTTGAGGTCTTAAATTTGAGTTTTAAAAATACAATAGCATTCGAGGTGTGCTATTCATTTAAAAAAAAAAATCATGTTTCAACTTAATTCAAATTAATTCGGACTTTCCTTAAAATTCTTTCATCAATTGTGTGGGACTGGTGTAAAATATGTGGGCCCTGTGTGCAAATATATATATATATATATATATGTATATGTATATCATATGCTAGTTGGAAAGAGACTTAAATATCAGATTTTGGTCATCATAAAGTCATGATAATGAAGCTTTCATCTCATGCATCCCTATCAAATGACAGGGGTAAAATTACTGACTGAAAAGAAACTTTATGACTCACCTGAAAGTCTCTTAAACCACAAAACAGGGCCCCGTCTCCGAAGGTCTCTCACACAACACAATGCACACACATGGATTCTTCTTCTTGAGGGTCAACCCAACAATTTGGCTGATCAGGGAACGAGTAAATACAAAAGCAAGAGGGTAATTTGGTATACCCAATGTTCATTTTCTTCACTGTCTTCACTGTTCCATTTCCCCAGTTCACCATTTCCCCAAAAACACTTCACTTTTGATTGGTGAGTGAAGCCCATGGAATCTGCTCTCTGTCTCTCCTCCAGGAAACATCACTCTCTACTTAACACTTCTTTTGCACTCTCACCCATCACTCTTCAAACCTCAGTTCATACCTCAAACAAACAAGCTAAGCCCTCCTTTCACTACTGTTTCCTCCTCCCTTTTTCATCACTTCTCATCTTATTATTGCCTTCACTTCACTGTGACTTACATCACTTTCCCATGGCTTCACCTTGTAGCAGTAGCAGATCTAGAACCTGCCTTCTTCATGGAATCCAAGTTTCAATCACTGTGGCTTTCATCTTTTCCCTCACACTTCTACTTCTTCTACCTGCCAAATCAGGTAAAAGTTACATCTATCTGAATCAGTTACTTCTGGTCTTGGCCTTTTCATTTCTGTGCCGTCTCAAATAATCTAATCTAAGCCTCATGGTTCTTGTTCCTTCATTTCTGTCACTGTTGAGGTGGATCAGGGTTGTTGCAGGGCACAGAGAGGGATGTAGAGGAAAGTGGTAAGGTGATAGGGTCTAAGCCACCTAGTTGTGTGAATAAATGCATGAAGTGTAGGCCGTGCTTGGCTACACTGGTGGCTCCTGATCACCAGAGGAAGAAGGAGGAGGGTTTCAAAGTGTCGTCTCGTGGGGAAGATGATGATACCTACTATTTGCTTTCATGGAAATGTAGCTGTGGGAATAAGCTGTTTCATCCTTGATTCAATCATCTCTGTCTCTCTCTCTCTGTCTCTCTCTCTCGTTATCATTAATTCTCATTTACAGAACTAGAGAAAGCAGAGTGGACGCTTAGTGTAGTTGGAGTTTCTGGCATTTTTCAGCAGTAAATACAGAGAGGCCTTAATGTTATTAGTTAATATATATCAATGTTGTTAACTTTAACAAGACACTGTTCTTTATTTTTCTTTCTCGTTGTTGCAATCTCGCCGACATAAATAGAAGATTATCAATTACTTGTTTTGGAATGATATCGTTGATGCGAATTATTTGAAAATGAAAATAGAAAATAACCCCCCCCAGTTATCTTGACCTTGTCATGAAACAGAATAAAAACGTTTTCCGTGGTATTGTATTAACAAAAAAAAAACGCTTTTTTTAATTATTGTTAAATTAACATAGTTTCAAAAAAAATCATGCCTGATAAGAAGTTGATACGTTTTAATTATATTATTATAATGATTAAAATTAAAACTACTATTGTTGCATGAACTGGAAATACCTCCATGATTATTTTTCTTGAGCTACTTTTATCCACATTCTTATGTGTTACATAGACTAAATTGAATTCATGTTTTGATAGATGAATTTGAATTTAGATTTATGATAAGTGCATATTTTATAATTAAATAGGTATATATTTTAGTTTAGATTTGATTATATTTATTAAGATTTTATATTTATTTAATTAATATTTATATATTTTTCCTTCATCAGTTAATTATAAGATAAAGAAGAAATTCTCTGCAAATTCTATTCATATATCTTCTTTCATTTTTGTATACAGGGAATATTACAAAAGATATTGAAGGATAGAGGAAAATCATATAAAGAAAAAATATATTGAAGAGGCACACATAAGAGGGAGCATGAGAATTATTTTAAAAAGAAGATAATAGTTTAAATGACATCAAATTTAAAATAATATTATGAAATTTTAAAAAGATCAGAAAATATTAATAGCAAAATATTATAAATAAAAGCTCATAATCTTATTCAAAGATATTTAAATTTTTATTTAAATATATCAAGAATTTCTTTTAAAATGTTTGGAATTCATAGAAGTACTTTAAAAGCTGAAAATGAGATCATTAAAAAAAATTTATAAATCATAATCATTTTTTACTTTTTAATTTTCTCTATGATTATTTTTTAAAATTATAGATTTTAAAATAGTATTATTTAATTTTAGAGTTAAAATTTAAATTTATCCTCATATTTTTTTTTATAAAAGTGTTGGACATTTTAAACTTTTAATTAGGACAATGGTTTTTTTGAAGTATTTTTTTCAAGTTTAAAAATGTAATCTGCTAATGTGACAACTCATGGGGTCTACGTGTGGTTCTGACTTGGTTTTAAAGCTGGATAGTCTGACTCTTTTGACCTGCCACTAGGAAGACACTGTCGATGTCACAGCATACAATGCCACACACACACACACACAGTCACAGACAATGAAGGTTAGAGGCTTGGATGACGAGGTCGACAACAATAAGTAAAAGCAAAGAGTGAATTGAGGAGACAGAGGAAGACCAAGAAAGATAATACTGGAACTTAAAGGAGTGGTGGAGTTTGGATTTTCCACCTAAAAGCTGAGACCAGGGAACCATCGTAGCAGAACTAGTGAATGAATGAAGGGAACTAGAGAGGTGGACCAGTGATGTGGATGACTGAAGCAGTGAACAAGTGACTGTGTGATGCCAAGACAATAACTTGATGAGCATAGGCCAGGTCGAGGAAAGAAAGGAGACGAGGTCAGATTTTTTAGAGCCATTGAGGTCACAGTCACAGACACAGACACTGGAATCTTCAGCAGAGGAAAAGAGAATGGAAGTTGCCGCGGCACAAACACTGAGCCGTAAGCACGAGATGAGGTCACATACTCACACTACAATACATAGTGCCACACACACATAGAGTCATGGACGATGAAGGCCGGAGGCTCAAAGGATGAGGTCGACAACGATGAGTGAAGCGAAGAATGAATTGAGGAGGCAAAAGAAGACTGCGAAAGACAGGACTAGAACTAGAGAGGAGTGGTGGAGCCTAAACCCTTCTTCTACTGCTTTCTGTTAACAACGAGGAAGATTCAGCCATTCTCGAGACCTTAAGTGATTGCCGCTGCAACTTGAGGGGGAAGCAAGGCAAGGAAGACCATGAAGTAACGGTGATGACGATAAAGAAGAGAGAGGCATGTATATGGTCAAAAGAGTCAAACTAGCCAGATTTGAAGCCAACTGAGAACCCCACGTGGGCCCCATGAGTTACTAGATAACAGCGGATTTCACTCCTAGGTAATGGAAGGACATTTTTTACCTTAAATAATACTTTAAAAAAATTACTTTATTTAAGAGTATAGAGTATTCAATATTTCTATAAAAAAAATACAATGATAAATTTAGACATTAATCTTTAATTTTATTATATATTTTTAAATTATTCATTTTTAATAGAAATGTAGCTCAATTAAAAAACTAGTTTTTTATTTATTTTGTTTTGACTCTTTGCTTATATATATATATATATTTTCAATTATATTTATGTTTCTTGTTTTTTATGTTGATTTAATGGTTGGCCAACATTTAATTAAATTTGTAGGTAATTTTGATAAACTAGGAGGTGAAGAAAAAACCTAAATCTTGAGAAATAGACATCAATAAATATGATAAGGATAATTTTAAAAATTTATGGTGACTTAAACTATAACTTTACAGTTTAATTAGTTGTTTAGGTATCGTAGGAATGAATTTAATACTAATTTAAAAGTGAATAATAATTTAAAAGAATATTAGGACACTTTAAAAATATTTATCACTATAATTGATTAAATAGTCAATTCAAAAGATAGAAACTAGCAATCTATAAGATGAATTTTAAACTCCAATACTTCAAGTGATTGTATTTTTATCATTATTATTTTCTTGATTTATTCTTGTTATTTATATTCTTATCAAATAATTTGTTTTATGTTTTTTCTTAAACTATTAATTATTTAACTTAATAAAAGCGTAACTTCTCTGTGGGTTCGACACCTACAATACTTAAGGTAATTTATTACTGTGATCTTGTACACTTGCAAAAATATTTAATTTAAAATTTTGTATTTACTATTCATATATTTAAAATTATTTACTTGGGTAATATGAACAAGAATTAATGGTCAATTTTTCCATTTAACTTTACTCAAAAAGTCACTAAAAATTCTAAACTCAACTATGGGTCAATTTTATTTGTCAACTTTAAATATTCCCTCATTCCTCATCCTATCATTTTCTCATTGTTAGTTCACCATTAGTTAGCCCTGCATTATATTTTTAATTTTTTTATGATAAAATATTTAAGTTGAGGGTGCCTTGACGTTTTGAATAAAAGTTGAAGAGTAAAAATAACCTTTAACTAGATAAAAATATTAAAAAAATAGTATGACCCACTAATAACTAGTGGATATTAAGTGTTTTTTTGCATTAGGGTAATGAAGGAGGAAATCTTTAATCTTTAGGGACAAAATTGACTTATAATTGAGTTTAGGGTCTCTGACAACTCTTCAAAAAAAATTGAGGAGTAAAAAAAAAAAACCCTTAACCCTATAAAAAATAAATCTATGGGTTGTCGTACTTATGTGATATGTCTTCAGGTAGTGTAGCATATAATTGTTGGGATTTGAAATAATTAAGATAGAGTAAGTATTTAAAATTCTAAAAAAATGTAAAAGAATATTTTTAAATATAAACTTTTATGTTTTCAAATAATGGATTTAGTTTAAAGTACAAATTTAAATGGGAGAATTTCAATTAAGGATTATGTGATTTAATTATTAGCAGGTATCAAAAAAATTTGAAACTTTAGTTCAATCTCAGAGGATTGAAGTGAAAATAATTTCAGTAAGGAAAAGATTAAAGTACCTTTCACTTGTTTATTTTATCTGAGATTCAAAATTATTAGTTATTAATTTTTTTAATTTACTAATATGAGTTGTAAATTATATCAGTTTGTCAGACAAGCAACAAGTCAGTAATTTACAATTTGATATTAGTAAATTAACAAGTAAAGTTAGTAAATTAACAACTGATTTTGCTACTTGTGGTTGAATAATTAATGTTCAACTCATGTATAAATATTAACAAGTTAAATTATGTAATTTACCACTCACATTGATAAATTAATAAGTAAAATAAAAAAAATTAATAATTAATAATTTTGTATTTCAAATAAAATTAATAAGTTAATAGTATTTTAATTTTTTTATTATAATTTTTTTTTTGGGTGCAAGTGGAGCATATGTCAAACATAAAGTCCTTAGGATCATACCAGAAATGGGCAATTATCCCAACCCGAAGAGAGGACAATAATGGGTCAATCGGACCTATTCGGGTTGACAGTTAACCAACAAATACCTAAAGAAACTGTAACGCAAGTGAGCCGTATGCAAATTTGCTTCAATCGTTTGCTCTTCAAATGGCTCTGCTAGCCTCCACCTCCACCACCACATCCAGTCTCCGTCTCTACTTCATCTCCTTCTACGCTTTTTCTAATTCCTCCAATTCTTCCTCCTTCCCATTCCCTTCTCGTCCTCTGTTTCGACCTCTTTCTTGTCATTCCAGCGTCGGTTGTCCCGGCCGGTGTCACGCCGCCAGCCTCGGCCCTCCTCCTCCCCCCCGAACCGACCCACCTCCCGGAAATGATCCTCGTCAGCTTCAAGGTTAGGAATATCGCGCCTTTTTTTAAATTTCAATATCAGTTTTAGGTGTTTAATTGCATTGATTTGCATTTTTTTTTTTGGGTAGTTTTCAAGTTCTGGCTTTCAATTAATGTGGTATGAAGTGTACGACCGTGGTTTTAGGTTATTCGAAATTTTGCGATTATTTTGTGATTGGAATTTGCTTTCGGTTCAAACTGAAAGAGATAAGGCGATGTTTTAGGTCCATTAGTTAATTTGAACACTTTGGGAAAATTTGTCTTCTTTAAATGGAGATACAGTAATTGAGGTTTTTAAGACTTAAGTTATCTCTTTTGGAGGTGTGATTTGACTCGGTCAGTATGATGTGTTCAAGTAAAAGATTTCTATCTCCTTCTGATTTTTCTAAATGACTTTGGTGGAGAAACTTTCCTCTTTAAGCGTATGGGAAATTGAGATGACTGGTAATTTATTTGACTTTTTTCATGGTGTTTGCTCCTTTTTATGAATTCCTTGTTCAGAACAATGGAGACAACCGCTTTGTCACTATTCATTTCGGAGATTACAAGAGCACTTAAATAGTTGTTAGAATTTGAAACTAGCACGCAATTTCCATAATTACAATCTAACTATATCAGGTTATAACCAGGTTTATCCGAAGACTGCATTTAATTTTCTTCCTTTGATGTAACTTCAGAATTTTCTGTCATACTTGCCAATTGCTTGGTTTCTTTTCTTCAGATATCAGGTTTAATAGTTGAGCATACGGTAGGTCAGATGTTGGCTATAAGATATTTGTTATATATGAAACTTTGGTTCAAAAAGAGATGGTAAAATTATTTAATTAAATCAAATCTGGTGATACCTTGCAGTTTTAACGGCGAACACCTGTTCTTTATTATATTAAAATGCAAGAATTATTGACACAAAATCACTTTTATTCCCCCCTGTAAAATTTGTTTGAAATGAACTTTTGTTTGGTGTTCATTGAGTTATATTATATGTAGACTTAATTTCATATCACTTATATAAGGTATGTCTGTTTTGGCAACTGCAAAATGTGTATTTGTTCTTAAGGTGTTTTGGTGTTTCTTCCATCACATGATGAGCTTTTTGATGCGTCACTCTGTGAATAAATCATGCATTGCTGGATTTGCCTAGCCTTGCCTTGCAACGTTTCATACATGTTAATAGTGTCAGTAGTGTTTTTGTATGTTCTGTAATATTTGAGTTTATCAGGTATCATATGTCCAACTTCAATTACTCATGATTTGCTTGTTTCTTCTTCTATAGCTAGGTGAAGCTTGCAGTACTAACAGTATTCCTTTGTTTTTTTTTTTTTTTTTAAAGAAGCAGGCATGGCTACATCTTGGTCCAAAATTAAAGATAGAGTACAGATCTTCTTTGCTGTTCTTTTCTGGATGTCTTTATTCTTTTGGTCGTCAGCATGGGATGGGAGGAATGGACCAAAGAAAGGATCAAGACGTAGAAGATAACATGCCGAGCATTTCACTTGTATATACATAGCAAACTATAGCTTAGGGGATAGAATCAGAATATACAGTGATGGAAAAGAGCATTTAAATGGGTGGAGAAAAGAATGTTCCTGATCCTGAGGCTCCATTATTTCTTTGCTTGAAAGCTTTTTCATGCTTTAGCTGATCCAGTTTCTTTCTGAATTGGCCAGTTGTGTAACAGACAGGGCGATTCTTTAACTAGCGTTCAAATGAATTTGAGCTTCCAGAATCAGGGCTGTATTTTAGGGTCACCCACGTTGAGAGATCTTGGGAATCATCGGTTAATCTCTAATGTCCTTGCTTTTTGGAACGGTAAAACATGTCTGCAGATCCTTATAGTTTTCATCAATTTTTAATCTGGTCCTTGTAGTTTTATTTGTTAGAATTGAACCGTTATACTTTCACCCGTTTAACACATTAATCCTTCCCATCACTACACTGCTAATATGTTTTAACACCGTCAAGTCAAGGTTCTTAGTCTGACCCATCAACATCTTCCATGGTGGCAGCCCCGGCAACAACCATTTCTGCATCTTCACCTATGAAACGACGTTGCTTGTTTGCTTTCTGAAATTTCTTCCATCCCCATTGCACCATTGACTTCAGCTACACGTATCGAGAGAATTACCAGCTAAGCGTTGCCGTTTTCACTTTGTTTCCTATTTTATTCTATTTCCTTAAAATTTCTACAGGGTGTTCTTTACAGTTTCTCTACCATTAAAATTCTGCCAAGGTACCTAATTTGCACGATGCCTTCTACAGTTGCAGTCATGAAACAAGAAAAGTGAACAATGTCCTTTTTTGGTTAACAAATTGGGAAAGAAAACAATGAAAAAACTTGTTTTTTTGGACATGGGCTCTTTTTAACATATCGTCGAGACGTCGGGGGATTTCCGAAGGTAGAAGAAGAAGTAGTAGTAAGCGACAATGGCGTCAGACTCTGAGGATTCGTATAGTAATAACAGCAGCCATGACCAACAGAAGTTTGGCAAGCTTAGATTCAAAGCTTCACTCTATCAACGCCTCCTCTGACTTCAATGAATTACAAAATGGCCAAGAGAAGAAAGGAAATTCCCCACTAGAGCCGGTAATTCGGGCCGAGCCTGACGGGCTAGCCCGAATTAGCCCGATAAATTTTAGGGCCGGGCTTTAAAAAAGAGATTTTTTTTATGTTCGGGCCTATTCGGGCCAAGCCCGATTAGGGTTCGGGCTTGGCCCGAATACCCGAATAATTTTTTTATTTTTAAAAATATATAATATATAATAAATATTAATTAATTCTTTAATTTTTAGGTTATTTTATACTAAAATATCATATATTTGAGTCCTAAACATCATTTAAGTATTAAAAATGTATATTTTATATTTTTTTATAAAATAAAATAATTAATTTTAAAGTAAAAAAATTAATTAAAAAATTTTAAAAATAAAATTCGGGTATTCGGGCCGCCCGAAGCCCGAAGGAATTCGGGCCGGGCTTAGTCATTCGGGCTTTTTAAAAAACGGGCCTGTTCGGGTTCGGGCCTATTTGGGCCGGGCTTATTCAGGCCGAGCTCGAATAGGTCCGGCCCGCCCGAATTTCCAATGCTATTCCCCATAGATGGTTGGCGAGGACATAGATGGGGTTCTTGCCGGAACTGCTACCAGAGACACTGATGGGTCAGAACCATACTTAGAGTGTGTTTAAATTAAACAATTTACAATTGAAGTTAACATCTAATTGAAGTTAGTAAATTGAAATTAAAAAAAATGACGTGATTTATATTTAGATATTTTTTAAAAAAAATTAGTTGAACAAATTAAAATTTATTTGAATGATTTAATTTATAAGTTAGTTGAAATGAATAATAACATAAATAAATATGAGTTTTGTTATATAATTTAATATTTTTAAGAAAAAATTATTAAGTTTAAAATTACAATTTTTAAAAATTAAATTACAAATACAAAATACATTAATAAGTCAAATATCTTAATTTTTAAAAAGCTAAAATTAAACAATAAAATTTGAAATATTCAAAAGAGCTAAAATAAATTCATAAATTATAAAATATTCAATTTATATAATCTACAATTTAATTTTAGTATACAAATCTTATTTCATTTTAATCTTATTATATTTTTCCCCTCTATTTAATGTTTCACAAATAAAGTTATATTAAATGGAGTGTATTTTAATTAAATAATGAAACAAGATTTTAATTGTTTTTCTTCCTTTACTTTGTCTTAGTTTATAAATTATAATTAAATATTAAGTAATAAAACCCAGTACAATCATCTTCTTCCTCCTCAAAGTTGAGTGCCATGCATATACACTCAAAAATATACATAGTATCACAGTGAGCACCTTCTTCCTTTTGCTCCTCTTTTCCTCTAAGCCGTTTGTTTTTTTTCTTATCTTGCAGAGTCTTTGCAAACCCTTTCAACTTCATCTCCCTTCTATACTCCTTCCCTCCCTTTGCTTTTCCCTCTCCCCACCACTAGCATCATCTCCCTCTCCCACCACCGTGCATTTGTCATCTCCCTCTCTACTTCAATGAATGAAGGAAAGCAAAGCAGACACGATGATCCTCGACTTCCATGGACAACAATTATGGCTAGCACTGATATGGTTAGTGGCAACAATGTTGGAGATAACTGTTGGTGCTTATTAAAGTGAAGAATGCGCGGGGTAAAGTGAGAGAATATGGACCGGAAGAGGAATCTGACAATAAATGCCCAACCAACATTCATAATGTGCGTCAAAAAAGCTTCCCCATTTGACTTTGCAATCAATGCTCGTTCAAAATTTTTTTCATCCAAACATGTTTTAATGAGTTTTTTTTATTTCAACTGAGGTTGGACTTTCTCTAACCTCAATTAACAAGTAATCCAAACATGTACTTAATAATGTTAAAGTATTTTATTGATTTAATGATAGGAAGGATTAATGTGTTTAATTGGTAAAAATATAAGGGTTCAATTCTAACAAATAAAATTATAGGAATCTAATTAAAAATTAATATAAACCCTGCTGATGTATTTTTCTTTTTGGAATTTGTAAGAGCCTTGGAAAATAAAATGCATGGTGTGAAGTGAGCAACCTTATCTTTCCTATGGACTGAAAGTAAGGGGTTTGATGATTGGAATTTGGAGGCATTATTGTGTTGGACGTAAGTTAAATAGTATTAAATTAATCTGTCAACTGTGCAGGTGTATTTCCCCTGAACTTTACACATGAGATATCTTGCTGGCTACTACCACGTTTCACAATCTTTTTTTTTTTCCTTTCCACTGTTAGATTAGACCCAATACGGTCTCTAGGTTGGCACAGCATGTTTAGAATTAATAATTTAAATAGATCAAGCTTATTAAAACTAAATATTTTAACTATATTTATTTAGATCAGACTTAAAATTTATAAATATATAAAAAAATTTATATATTTAAATTTAACCCTAACTTCTTAAGCTTTTGGGCTTATTCTAATTGGTCCAATTAAATATTATTTTATTTTTTATTTAATTTTAATTTTTATTTTATTTTATTAATAATAAAAAAGAATTTGAAAATTTAAATTAAGCCCATTTGAATTCGGCTTGGCTCAAATTTTTTTGAGTTTATTCGAGCAGCTCAAATAAGCTTAAAATAAAAAAAATTAAACTATCAAACCCAATATTAAGATTTTTTAAATTTATTTAAGCTGATTTATTAAGTTTGGTTCAAATTACTGACTTAAATGTCATGATGCGAGGATATAATTATCAGTCTCACAATATAACTTTTATTCGACGGTGCTGGTATTTTCACCAAACTCATTAGTGCATATAGACTACTGAGGGCCGATTGGAGCAAGTGGGTTAGTAATAGCGTTCTTTTAATTACTTGATGCCACTTCAAGAGGCGTCCAATGTGATGATTGACGAAGACGACAAGTTTTGTTGGTTTCTCTGACCTCTCTGCCAAAAGAGAAGGCAAAGAAAATAAGAAAGTATTTTCTATGGGCGTGTCCCACTGTCTGTAATGAAAAAATATCAATGCATCACTGGGGGGAGTGCCGCAGAATTATCTATCTGAGTTGAGAGGTTGGTGCTTTGGATTTTTCTTGCCTTGGTTTTCAAAAGCGAGATCTTCAGAATAATTGTGATATTCCATCTTAAAGGTTGTCTTTTTATTGGTGGACATGTTCTGGGTCCTATATTTTCTACTGTTGTCTATTTGTCTTGTCTTGGCCGTCTTTTTATAACCTTGATTGCTTCTTGGATGGTTAAGAAAAGCTCAAGCTGCCATGACATGGTCCTGTCAACTAGAAGCTAGTAAAGTAATTGTGATCGATCTTCCGCTCCATGATTAAAATGAACCGGTTATGTGGATTAACCTTTTGCTGTACATATCTCTTGTACCAGTATATTGTGAACTGATACTATTTATCTAACTCGTATTTCCATTAACATGTTATTGTAACCACCGTATTTTTCTTCATTAATAATGAAAGCCGGAAAATTACCTTTAAAAGGTGTTGACCCTAGAGATAAAAAATAGGCAAGTCTGACCGATATGATCTTATCTCTTAAGAGTTTAAGCTCATGGGCTTGGTTATTCTAAAATTCATTATTTTTTTTTTAAACTTTACTCTTATTCAAAAGGCTTAAGTTGGGCCTGTAAACTTGTTCTTACTTTTTTTTTGATTTTTTAAAATTAAAATATTTTATATTTTTTAAGATATAAGTTATAATATTCAAATATTTAAAATAAATAAATAGAAGTTCGTATATTAAAATATAAATGTATATTGTAAATTTCAAATTTAATTTAAAAATTGAAAAATATTTTATTTTTTAGAAATAAAAATAAAACGAACTTAAAAAGGCCGCCCAAACTTAAATCCCTCTTTTAGGGCTTATTAAAGCAAGTTTTAAAGCCTGATTTTAAAAATATTATTTTTTTAAATTTAAACTCTTATCAAAATAAATTTAAATAGATAGTTCATCAAGTTTAATCTTTATTCTTGATTCTAATTGACCTATAATTTATTAGCCTTAATTTGGAGTCTGAAAGTGCTAAGGCAAAAAGGGGTGTCACTTTCTGTTACTTGCCCACATGCCATATCATACCAACTCGTGGCCGTTCATTTTTTTCTTAACTCAAAATCTTTACAAGTTTATGACTTTTTTGGTTTATTACGGCTTGCTTAATTTCAATCTATGTGCGACTTTTTGATTTGTTTCTATTGACACTTTATCCCAATAATTG